AGTTGAGGAGGTGCATGCTGAGGCCAGCTCTAGGTGAATGATGTTCAATTTTGGAGTGAAAAAATTGCAGAAAGTCAGTACATTGGTCAATGGAGATATCTGGAGGGAGGGTTTGAGGAGGCTGAAAGAGGTGACTGACTGTGGAGAAAATAACTCTGTTGTTACCAGTGCTGATGAAGTTGGAGTAATATGAGGATTTGGCATTGGAAAGCGCGTTCTTGTAGAGGTGAAGATGATCCGAGTACATTTGTGTGTGAACTGAGCGTCCGGTGCTTTTGCACAGCCGCTCCAGTCGGCGGCCAGTTGTTTTGAGCGTGTGTTAATATTTTCCATATTTGGTCAACATGCCTCAAGAGCTTCTTCAGAAGAAGAACCACACAGCATTTTTTTTTACCAATGAATATATAGCCTTAAATATATCTGTCATGCTTTCATTGACAAAGTGATCTTTAATCAAAATGCAAGGCTATTGAGAATAAAAACTGTGTTCTGAAACAAAACAACATGTATTTTCTTCTTCAGACACATCTCTCTTCATAATGCTTCATTCATTACCGCCAATAGGTGTTGCAGATTTATGATTTGGCTAGATCCTGAGCTGCACTTTACCAAGATGACAGCTGGTAATGCTTTTAATGTATAGACCTGCAGGCATCATCATTATTCAGCAGAATTAAAGGTTACGTTTCTTCCCCCTCTCACTTCTTCATACAGATACTCCAGCTGCACAACTGGAAGTAATCTCTTGCTGTGTCCGAAATCACTCCCTTGTTCCCTCATTAATTAGATCAAACAATGGACGCGCTCTGTAGGATGCTGTTGGACACCTTCAGATACTTTTAAATCAACGTTTTGCACCACCAATACTGATTTACAGCATAGATGAGCAAATTTAAAAACAGGCTCTCACGATGGACTCAAATTTGAGTTTTGTACCTTGTACATTATCCCGTTTTTTACACAGCTACATACTAAACTAGAGAATGCAATTCCTGAAGAAATTGCATGTGGGAATGATTTATGCTGATGCTGAATTGCTATGCTGAAGTGTAATGTGTTAGAAGAAAGTGAAGAATTTAGATTGAAATGATACATGAACACTGGGGGCTTGAATGTGTGATAAGAGAAGAAAATAGTAAAAAGGCTTGGAAAAGCAGCAGAATATTTAAACTGCAATTTTTTTTTTTAACCAACTTGATTGCGAATGATCTGTCGCCATGCCAACGGCATTTGATGACATCCCATAATACGCTTAGATGCGTTGATGGCTGCATTGTTACCAAACCTGTGAAGTTTTGGGCCGTTTGGAGCATTTTCACTGAAGTTATGAGAAAACCGTGTTTCATGGTGAACATTGTGTTGCCATGGCAACGGCATTTGAAGAAATCTCAAAACTGTCCGTAGATGTCTTCACGGCTGGACTGTTATCACACATGTGAAGTTTGAGCACTTTTTGAACATTTTCATAGGAGTTAATGTATAGCGACATCGTCTTTTATGGCGAGGGATGCGTTTCCATGGAAACGGCATATGATGACACCCCATAATTGACGTAGAGCTGTTGAGGGCTGGACCGTTAACCATTATCTGAAGTCTGCTGCTCTGAGCATGTCAGTTGGAGTTATGACATCATCGTGTTCTATAACACAGGTGTTTATATTTGAGCTAACGAGGTGTCCAGAGATCAAAGGTTTCCATTGTTCTGAATGAGAGATAAACCTCTTACATGTGAACGTTTTGTTGAAGAACCGTAAAAGATATCGGTGAAATTTCAAAGCGTGAAGCATCTCAAGGACCTTGAGTATATGAAGTGTGCTTTTTGTGTACTTTCGGGTTAATAATGTGGCCTTTTTGGCAGATTAACTAAATGTGTGCGGCTGCTGCTGTGAGGAAATATCAGCCTGAAATTACAATGGGCTTTAATGGAGACATGTTGAAAGTTTTTGTCACTTCATGCCCTCAAGAGGCATTTTGTTTAATTATTTGTCATTTTTCAAGCTACGAGATGTTTTCCTACGTTTGTCATGAAAAATGATGTCTCAGGAATGTAGGGTTTGGGAATTATGGCAGTTTTAAAAAAAAAATATGAAGGCAAATTTCAAGATTTCCTACAGCTGTGACATTACGCACTCTAGTTAATGTTAAAATCGGAAGAAGGCCTCTGTACCAAGGTCTGAACAATGTTTAATATCTCTAAAAGCAAGAATCAGATTGAAAAGTTGTGTTACACGAATAATGTCAGAAAGATGTGTAACATTTTAAAGTTGCAATGAAGTTTCTGAGTGAAAGTATGAAGGAACAGTTAGCAGTTGAAGTCGCATGAAGATTGTTCAAGTCTGAAGATTTTCTCCATTGACATCAATGGTTAAAAATGTGATGAATGATGGGATGTATCTCTGGAATTATGAAAGTCATGAATGATAAAAGTAATAGCACTTGATTCCCGACCGAGCTGAACGTTTTGATATTTGAACGGAGTTTCTGCGATGTTCAATGTGGGAGCTGAAGACCGGCAAAATAACGGGCGGAATAAAATTAAATAATTTTGTGCGTAGAAAAACAGATAGTGGGAATGCTGTTAACAGCATTCCCACTAAATAAACCAACAACTTGACGCATACAATTGCTTTAAAATGATTTTATTGATTTAAAAATGATCGTTCCGCTGTGACTGACAAAAATAGTGCGTAACAACAGCTGGAACTTCGGCGACAGTAACGTAACTTAAAACGGCAGCACTGATGGAAGTTTTTCTGCCAAAGCTGATGAAAATTGCTTATAGTAGCGTCCTCCTTAGCAATGGTCTTCTCTCCCTAGCAGCGATCTGCTTAAAAAAATAGCAGACCTCTTGAATGTCCATATTGACCAATCAGAATCAAGTATTGAAATAAGCAGTGTAATAATGAAAATTGTTTGCACATTGGCAAACATGAGTGCTTAAAATATTAGTATGATATTATCAAAGGACATTCAATTTGTATTTATATTTATATATTCCTGACTGATTGATGATTCATAGTTATGAAAACTCTGAAAGATTGTTTTGCAATGTTAAAGGTTATGCCAGGTGCATTTTGCCTTTATTTATTAGGACAGATTGGAATTAGGGGAAAAGAGGTGTATGACGTGCTACACAAGTTGGGATGCAGTCATTAGGCATGTGCTTTAACCACTGAAATAATACAGTGTCCAATATTCTTATATTCAACTTGCATTACTGGCTTATTTTAATGTTTGAAATGTTTTGGTCTTTCTTTATTACTATCATTATGCATCAAAACAACGAGGCAAATTCCATGTATGTGAAACCCACTTGTCAATACACCCGATTTCACACACTGACCTGAAGGCTTATCCTTCCCTCACACTGGTGTGTCTGGATGGGTCCCTGGTTGAAACCCTGCAGGCTGCTCCAGATGAAATGGCACACGAGTGACTGCCCCTGAGATCACATGCCACTCAAAGTGTGCAGTCAGACCTGAGAGTGTCAGGTGAGGAGGAGGAGGGGGAGGCGTGAGGGGACTGATGGAATTGGAGCTACAGTAGCTGGGACTGTATCTGATTGCAGCTCTTGATAAAGAAAAGTATCTGATAGGCAATCAGAGTTGAGGGCTGAGAGGATTTGAACATTTTTGGTGGACTGTGGATTGGAGCAGCTCTTAATCTGGTCGCCTATCTTTGAGAGGGCTGATGGGATTGTGACACCTGATGTGTCTCCACTGGCCTTTTAAAACCACATGTCAGGGAAGTAAAAGTAACACAAAGTGGGATAATGTGACAATGTTGACGGCAGGTTGTTTTTCCAATGTATTGATCTTTGTTTAACCTTTAAAATGGTAACAAATGGTTCATCACAATTTCTTAATGCCAAAGGAAAAGCCTTCAAATAAATTGTTTTCTGCAATCAAAAGTAAAAAAAAACTGAACAGTAATTTTGAGTAAATACAGTCTCAGAAACCTTTTGATTACAAATAATGTCAATTGTAGGATTGTACACTTCATGATAATATATATTTGCATTTATGCCGTCAAGGCATTTAATGACATTTTACTGTTATTTCTTCGGTTTTTCAGTGTTTCTTCTCTTATTATTAGATAGTAAAGAAAGGTCATCACTTCAAACCTGTTTTCTTACATGAAGATGCATTTGTTTCCCGTCATTTAGCTGACAAAGCGACTTACAATAAGTGCGTTCGACCAACAAAATACAAACTTGAGGAAAACAGAATCATATAAGTACATCAGGCTTCATAGAGCAAAAACATTTCAAGTGCTACTCAACTGGCTTTAGATAAGCCAGCCCTTTATTAGTATATAAGTGCTTTGTTTATAGTTCTAGTGGAGTCGAAAGAGATGAGTTTTCAGTCTGCGCCGGAAGGTGTGTAAGCTATCTGCTGTCCTGATGTCAATGGGGAGCTCATTCTACCATTTTGGAGCCAGGATAACAAACCCACGTGTTTTTGCTGATGGGAACTTAATTACCTCCTATAAGGGGATTATTTTTCTGCTGGGTTTCTCTGTCTGTCGGCCTTTAAAGAATTTACATCTTCATGGAACTTGGTGGAAGGGTGTGGTATGGGAAAGAGACAAAACCATTAGATTTTGGATGCATCCAAATGACAGGGGTGATACACAAAATATGTTCCACTTGAAGATTTTCAAAGAGTTACAGACTGGAAATATTAACTTAATGCTCCCTTGAAAAGTCATAGAAATCTTTGTTTCACATTTCATCATTTCAGAAGATCCATTCATGTATTTATATATAAATACTGAAAAAAATGGCGTCAATGCTGTTTTTGCATTAAAGCAATAAGCCTTTTAACACGCCAGAGTCAGAGGAACAACTTCTCAACTCTGTCAATAGGAACATCTGAGGAACATTTGAACGCAGCATTGGTGTGTGTTCTCTGAGTACCATTCTAGTTAAAAGGGGAATTTAAGCCGTTTTGAATTATACATGATTGTAATCTAAATGTTTTCTCTGTCCCTTCCTGCAGTCCGTCTTCATTCTTTTTTTGGCGCCTTTCACCTTCTTCAATGCCCAGAAGACCAAATATCTCCAGATTCTCACCTCACTGATGCGCTGGATTGGTAAGAATAAACTAATCCTCACTAACACTGAATACTCAGTTTACATTTATTTAAGATTTTGACTCCTTCACACATCAGGGTTTTCTTTACGTTTCACCCGTCTCCCTCAATTCAAATTATTTTGTTTCTTTCCGCTTACTCTTTTTCTAGCAAAAAGTATTTCCATTTTCTCAGGTGTCTACCCCCGTTGTCTTTTATCCCTTCCTCCCTCCCTGCCCCGGCTGTGTGGCTGCTGCTCCCAGGTCTGTCCATCATGGTTGGGTCCTGCTCTGTGTCTTTGATTCCCATCTCCTCTCATTCCTCAGCCTGACAGGCTTGACAGCCCGTCCCAAGCTTGATTGGACCGTCACTCACAGGGCGACGGGCGAAAATAAACCGCTGGTCCTGGGCCCTGCTGTTAAAATCACAACACCACTGAATCATGGCGCACTGCCGCTCGCTAGCCCGCATAAACAACACACAATCACAGCAGCATCCGTATACTGCCCCCCGGCTGGCTGGCTGGCTAAATTACACCGGGATTATTGAGCTGCACCCTCGTCCGTCTTTACCCTCCCATGGCGTATTTGACGGATTTTGTTGCTTTTGCTGAACTCTGATTTAAGATTACTCCAAGGCTTCCTCCAGATTCAAGTGATATGACAAAAAATGGCATATGATTCCAGTGTTTCCCCTACAGTATATACAAATAGTGGCGGCGCAGCGCCGCTGCTGAAATATGCGCGCTGCTGCTAGGGTAGCGCCAGCCAGGTACTTTTTATTAAAATAATAATAAGTGGCGGCCCCGACACACACACACCAGAGAACACCAGTACCGGCGCTGTTGTTATTAGAATCTGGTGCTAGCTGCGCTAACGGATATAAGAATTAGATGTTTCTACAACCAGGGTGGAGGAGAGCTCTCCTGTCAGACTGAGAGGCTCAGTGAGGTAAAGGACTCTCCGAGTGTTTTAGATGAGTTCATTTTAGTCTAAGTTATCTCAGTGGGTCTCAAACGTTTTGACCACAAATTATGTAAACACATATTTCCAAGGCACTCCTTTATAATTATTAGGATAAATAAAAACAGGTTTGAAATCATTCCAATGTATACTATAGGACAGTAAACCAAAACTATCGTTTAAAGTTGGAGAGATACAAAAATATGCATAAATAAATGTTAACAAGGTAAAATAAGATATGAATGAACAACAAAAATAAAATAAGTTACATTTATTTGTTATTGGCTATGGTAGGTTATTGGTTATGTTCACATACTTATTTGATTATTAAAATGTAAACCGATCTTTTTTATATGGGTGTTTTAGAGTTGTACCCCCTAGATCAGGTCTCTAGTAATGTGTGCTTAAAGTGCACCAGATTGAAGCATTTTACTTTAAAATGTTCAAAAAAAATCTCCCCGGGGGAGCATACCCCCGGACCCCCCTAGAGGATGTGATGTCCTTCCCCAATTCAAACATATTCATACAATATTTAATACATTTGAAGCCATTTTGACGTATATTACCTATGTCAATACATTTCTGTTTTTGTAGTGTATTTGTCTTTTGTAGAGATTTTTCATTTATTCTTTATATATAAAATCTCGTCTAGGGCAGCAAATTGGCTAGAACCGGCCCTGGTACTAGGCTTCAAGAGCCTTTCTTGTGCTGGCAGACACATAGAAACAAATTGGCGGGGCGCACTTCGCACGCACTAAAAAATTCCACGCGCTCCGCGCTCACATTTTGCTCTAGCAGTATGCTTTGGTTCATTGTCCTGCTGTAAGGTGGACCTCTGTCCAGCCTCAAATCATTGGTAGGCTGCAATACATTTCAACAACTTAGATTGCACACAGGTTGACTTTATTTAACCAATTATTTAACGCTGAAGGTCATTGTTGGGGCTTCATAGCAAAGGGGATGAATACATATGAACACACTTCTTTTCAGTTTATTTCTTTATAATAAAAAATTAAAACAAGCTTATTCTTTGTTTTTAATTCCCCATTTTTTTTTGTGGGTGGATCACATAACATCTAAATTAAAATCAATGCAGGTTTTAATGCAACAAAATAGGAAAAACACCAAGTGGAGTTAATACTTTTGCAAGGCACTGTATTTTGCAAGAATGTAATTGTAGTACACATATCAATATGATGAAGAAATAATAACATACTCATACGATTAGTAAAAAACCTGAATAAATGCTTTGGCAAGTGTGCAAGTGTGCTTGCAAGCAGAAACACTTTAAAATGCTTGTTTTTTCAATGATCATTCGAAGGGGGAATTAACTTCATCATCATATAGACATTAAAAAGTGGGCACTTGCCATGCCATTAACTGTCTGTGGTTTCTACACATACATTTATAAACAATGGATTTTCTCCAGTCCAAAAATTATGTAGTGATGACATTTTGGACCGACATGGATGTAAACTGTGACTAGACCGGTTGACGGAGGAATACAGCTGAAGGGTACTTCTAGTTTTCAGTTTTTTTTCTCCATTAGTCTGACTCAATCAGTGTTGGCTTAGTGACATACTAATGATGGAAAACATCATTAAAATAAATGACATTGAGAAGACAGGTAATTAGCCAAGCCCATAATTTCCCTCTCTATCAAACTCACCCCTGCACTGTTAGATTAAGCAAGAGCACCGATGATCCGAATAGAAATGAAAACGCCATGCATCATACAAACTTTCTGTGAACATAATTTGGTTTATCCTAAATCAACATAGTGAAATAACTGTGTAACAACAGTTTGAGTCATAGATTGTTAGTTTAATGTTTCTGGAGGAGCTGCTACTCTGGGATAAGAGTAAATATTATAGCGGGATGGCACTGTGTCTTAAGGTGTGTGTTTTTTATTGGACAGCTAAAAGTAATGTAAAGTAGTGTTCTGCTCTCCAAGGTGCTGTCACACACTGAAGGAAACAGCCCCAGTATTTCTCTAAAGTACTCCCCTGTTAACATGCGGATCACAAACTGTGCCTTTAGATCAAATGCTTGACAGTTAAAGGTGTGTTTACAGGTGTTGTAGTGCAGCTGTGAATAACTGAAAAACTCCACTCTAGATATGCCGCATTCCCTGCAGGCTTGTGTAGTGGCAGTAAGAGACTGTCCTATTTTTTCTTATAGCGGCAGTTGCGACTTAACTCATGAATAAAAAACAGTTTGCAGCCTCTTTTCTCTGAATCAGAAAACTGCTTATTCAATTTGGTTAGTTTTACGTGCCTGGGTCTTAAGATCTGCAGATTTAAAGAAGCCCTGTTACGCTTCCTTGAGTTTTCCCTGTCCTGTAGTGGGTTACATAGGTTTTTGTGCAAGTAAATGGTCTGCAAAGGCTAAAATCCCGAAGTTTCTCTCCTACAGTCCCAACCCCCCTGCCTAAAACGCCTTCATTGGGCTCCTTTGTTTTGTTCCATAACATAATGACATCACTACATAAGACTCTATTGGCTAGCACATTGTACAGGATATTCAAGTGGCGTGACATTTCCAAAACATCTTTCAGCCGTTGACCAATCACACCAGAGCCGGCCAGCTGACCAATCAGAGCAGGCAGAGCTCTGGTTTCAGATAGAGGGTGAAAATAGGTGCTGCAGCACAGGCAGTATGAGAAAAATAAAGAGCTTTTTGAACATTAAAGCATGACCCCACATCCCCTCCTCACAATCACTCAGCACTTTCTAGATACACCTGCAGTCACATGTGCTTCCCTGTGAGGGGGCAGGGGGGGTAGGTGTTGATAGTCGGGGTTAGCATCTGGCTGGATCCTCCTGCCCTCGCCTCTGGCCTTGTCTCCGATGTTGCCACTCAGCTGTACTCACCTCCTTGTCCAGTGAGCCCTGTTTTTTTTACACCAAATATGAGTGATGGTGTGGCTGCCTGCTGCTGTGCATGCTGGGATTTTCAATGGTGTGGCCATTAGCTTGGGTCAGTGTGACTCCTACTCCCCAGAACTCCTGACTGCGGTCATTTCTTTTGCCCGTGGTCCCGCTTAATTGTTCCTTAATTAAATGGGAAGCAGCGCAAAGGGCAGCGTGTGTCCTTTGGCCATCTGTACGCACTTTGCTTGGTCACTGCAACATCTTCAACACTACACTACATACATAATGAAGCATTCAACACCTGACATTTCTAAGACACCAGTGACCTTTTTATTTACCATCTGCATTAAAAATGATGAACTATGTTCTGTCATGTTAAAAATGTGGGGATAAGGCATGTGCTATCATTCAGGACAAATCAAACTGACTTATTTGTTTGCCTAAAGAGGCATCCACATGTTTGCAAAACACAAAAATCTATACAATTTGAGTATAACAACCACATTTGAGGATTTTGTTTCTAATGTCATAATTCACTTCTTTAAACTAAAGCGTGTGGCTCAGACATGTGGCCAACCCAAAATACACATATTTCTCTTACCTGTAGTTGGATTTATCAGTCTTATTTGTTTGATGTCATTTGCCAAGGGCCTTCTCCTCAATATTATGTTCCACAAGATGGAACTACTGTTTTTTAAAATGTTTATTTAAAAAAAATAACTTTAACAGCAATGTCTCTTTCCTGAATTCATGACCCGGTTACTCGAGCTATTCTTGAGGAGACCTCATTCTGCAGTTTTATGAACTATTTTCTTTCTTCCAAACAACACCTGCCAACTATATATCACTGCCAAGAATGAAGCATCTACATCTTTCACAGTGATAATGTTGGAGGGTGTAGTTTCTGTAATGGAAATTAGGATTATCAGAGAATGTAATGCTATGATGTTATATTTAACATATAAATAATACATTTCTGTAAGCCAGTAAATCTCAGAACTCAGGAAGGTGATCAGTCACAAGGTGCCATGTGACCACAGGGGGGATCAGTGATCTGGTCATTGGTCTATTGTACTCTGATAGAGTCATGGCTCAGTTATCTCATGACTCAGACCTCATTTACACGGGAACGTTTGCGTTTACGCACCGTATGCGTTTTCAAAAAAGTCTTCCGTTCACAAGCATT